TACAGAGCAGGAGGCTATGTGCCGCTTCACTGGCCTCCTATGGAATTAGCGTGCAAAACTCTTGCTCTTAGTAAAGCTCTTACTATTACAGCAATGAATGTCAAACATTTATTGCCTTGGACTCTAAAACTGACTTGGTAGAAGTCTGAGAGAGACTGTTTTCTGAAAAAGTTAATCTTTACAGATCTTTACAGAAATATTTTCAGTATCTCATCTCTTCCCAAATAAGTTACTACTTTCAAAATATGACAGCTCAGAAATTATATATTTTGCTATACCTGTAAAATATTTTAACTGGAAATATATAAACAAAGTAGAATGATTTCCTTGGAATTGCATAAAACCATGAAATATATTGAAATTTACCAAATAAGAACATTTTGCTTTTAAAAGATTTAAAAAATATACAAATTTTACAGGAAACTTTGGATCACCAATAGAAAAGACTGGACCAAATTCTCTTATGGCCCGCTTTTGAGACATACTCGGTATTCACAAAACTGACTGAAGACCACAGAATTGGTAAGTATTTTGTTATCTCTTAGAATTGCTCTATTAGTTTGCGTAACTGTAAATCTAAACGAAATACATTGTGTTCTGTAGTGAGACACTGGCTGTACATTAAGTCAACTTACAGCAGATTTCTCTCGTCTGTTTGTGGCAAAAGGAGATAAGTGTAAAATGGAGGATGTTTATTACGAATAATCGAAAATACATTATATGTACTGTCATTTTCTTTATGGAAAAAACAAGTTGTTTTCACAGTTTTATATTGTCTATGTTATTTTCAGTGTCTCTTTCAGCTTAATACTTAACCATTCTAGTGTTCTAGACATCAAACTGGATGGAAACAAGAAGCTTCTTGCAAACTGCAATTTTTTATTATGAAGTAGTAATATAAATTAACCTTTCTTGTCTATTAATGAAGAGCTATAGGATATCCAATTACTGCTTTGGGCTAATTCAAAGAGGTGTTTATTTGTTTGAACTGACCCCTACTGGCAAGTAAATATTACATTAAGGACAAAAATACTCACTGGGTGCCATGACAGTTTCTTTTGTTTATGTTGCAGGTATTTAATAAAAAATGCTGTTGTCAATAGGAATGCTAATGCTGTCTGCCACTCAGATCTACACCATTTTGACAGTTCAGTTGTTTGCTTTCCTTAATCTTTTGCCTGTGGAGGCAGATATTTTAGCGGTAAGTGCCATAATAATTTTTACATGTAGGTAAAATTGTACAAATAATGGAAACTTCTTTCAGCTTTTCCTAATTGTGTATCATCTAATGCAGCAGACATATTAAAGCAGACTTGTAAATTTCATTGAAATTATCCACACATTTTACCAGGTAAATGAATACTGTTTTGAATACTACTTTAAAAAAAGGCTAGGGTTTTCAAAGTAGTTAAATGGAATATGTAGATATTCATAAATTGTGAGACTAGAAGGGACCTTGGAAGATCATTGGGTCCAGCCCCCTACACTACAGCATCATTCTAATTGAGGTAAGGGGAACACCTAACTTAAGATGCCCTTGAAAATCTCAACCTAGTTTTTATACGCACGCACCTTAAGTTAGGTGTCCCCCTTCCTTCTGTATATAAGGGCATAGTCTGTCTGTTTGTCTGTCTGTAATGCTTTTGGGGGGTGTGGCAGACCAGTAGGGGGTGGTCCTGTGCTGAGCCACCCACCTCACTGTGCCTGACCACCTACCAAGCTCCAAGTGCCTCCCCAGGGTGCCTCACACCCACAAGCCTGGGGTATTGCTGCCACCACCCAGGGGTTCTGGTCTGTATATGGGCCTTCTGCCCCTGGGGTACACAGGCCTGGTAGCCCTTGAAGGTGCTTGACCCACTGCAAGAAATTGAGGTGCTTCCTTTAGCCTGAAGCACAAAATGTAGCCTCCCTTAGCTGAACCTAGGAAGCATATAGCAGGCAGCGGGATTGGGCATGCCTAATACAGCCATACTGTATTAAAGCTTTATTGGTTAAAGAAGGTAGGCTTGGGGAAGGGTACAGATTAGAGAAATATCAAACAGTAGCCCAGAGCAAACAGTGCCAGCTTAGTAGCTGTTTGAAAAGCTTACTGCAATGTAGAAGCGATCTTTCTAGTTAAGTTACTCATACGTTCATCTGGAGCCTAGAAGAGCTCCAGAGGCTGTGTGCTTACTCCATGTTCCCTAATATGGCTCTCTGTCCCTTTCCTCATGGGGACCCTTGTATACACCTGTTGTGACCTCATCACAAAGTTCCCACCAGAAGCAGCCCCATTGGCTGCTTCCTTGTGCTTCCTAATGATGTCACCTTTCCAGGTGAGGTAACTAGTCACATGACCTGCCATGGTAGGGAAACTGAGATGGTGGGAGCAGGTTCCCCTTCCCTCGGGAATGTCTCCAGCGTAGGTCACAACTCGGTGTTAAATGAAACAGATGGGGGAAGAGCTGCTTGCTCGCAGCAGTGAGGCAGATGGAGGGGTGATACTTTCACAGGGGGCATGGCTCTAGCCAGTGCTGCATGTGGGGCGAATTGCCTGTCAAGAATGACAGCAGGGAAGGAGTGCCACCATGACGGAGGGGATGGAGCAGGGGGGTTATGTGAGGCTGGATGCAGTGGGGAGAGGGGAATGACAGCAGGGATGGAGTAGAGGTGGCACAGGGTGGTGGCAGCGTGGCGCTGGCCTTGCCCCCACCTCCGTTCCCTCCATCCTTGCTGTCATGGCAGCGCTCTGTCCCTGCCGTCATTTTTGATGGGCAATTTGCTTGTATTGTGTAATAGGCTTTTAAGAAGAACTTTCTGCTCATTTATTTTAAATTGGCCGAGTAAATTGGTAACTAGCACACTTAAATACATTTTACTTATGCATGCAAATAGTCCTACTGATGATAACTGAACTGCTTGTCTGCATAAAGCCAAGTATAATTTTTAATGTTTGTGTGATTGGAATGTAAACTGGGAGTGGACGAATAAGCTGTTACCTTTCCCAAGGCTAGATCTATCCCCTAAAATTTTGTCAGTACAGTGGAGTTGTATCTTATGCGGGGATTACGTGCGGAAGTCGGCGCATAGGGCGAAAATCGGGTATAGTTGAAATATAGCCCTTCCCGCCCCACTCCTCGCCCCTCTTGTCCTCTGCTGCATTGTCCTGCCAGGGTAGCCAGCTGAGCATGAGTGAGCTGCCGCTCCCCAGCCATGCCGGCACGTGCGGGCAGTGCCACGTGGCGCCGCACTACGCTCTGTGCCCTGGTCGGCACCCGGTGGCCAGCCCCAGCAGCCGAGTGCGTATAGCTGAATTTGTGTAGGTTAAATATGCATAAGATGTGACTCGACTGTATATCTCCTTATTGGCATATCTGTTGACAAACCTGCTCACTTAGATTCAGTTTTTACAGCAAGAGTTCTTTTGTTTGCGTAGCTAATGTTGCTTGGGAGGTTGGTTTATATGGGCCAAAGAAATTAGTATAAATTGTGTCTTCCATTGGTGGCTTATCCTTCTATATACCAGCCAAATAAATTTGTGTAAGTTGTGTCCCCCATTGGTGGCCTAGCCTCCATTCATTGAAAGGGTTGGGGCCTTTCTCTGAGGCTTCCTTTTTATTGATGGCTAAGATACTGTAGTTTAGTTTTCAGCAACTGTCCACCTACTGTTATTTACCAGATATTATCACAGAGCAGGTGATGTGAGGAAGAACTGTGTTCTCTTTTAATTTATAATTTGTTTTCTGTTGCCCTTAATAGTGTAGTGACCCTGGGTATTGTTAATATACTTATAATGCATGGACTAACCAAGCATGTTACATTGAGTTAAAAGGGGCAAGAATTTGCTGTTCCTGTGCTGTGTAATTGAACACTAAACCAGGAAATTTTACCCCTGAATGAAATGGAATTAAGTTACTGCAGGCACTTGGACAGTTACTGTGCATTACTTGCCCTGTAATAAGTCCCTGCCCTCTCAAGTTGCTGTGATTTTTCTATGCCTGCACATATGTAAATAGTACAATTAGATCTTTAAATAGTTCCTAAGATAAACCTTTCATCATGCTTGAGAGTAATGTTAATTTAGGGTCGAGGGTCAGTGATGAAAGATGATTTTTGTACCACCTAGAACTCATTCTTTAGATACTATAGATATCTAGAGGGGGGAAGCTGTATTTGGGTGGGAGTTCAAGCTACTGAAATAATTGGATCTAATAGCTGTAATAAATTATTTGTTCTTACCCATAGTAATATCCAAGAAAATTATTATTCAAACTAACTGAACCCAAGTACTCAAATCAGTATTTATAAAATTACAGGCTCTGCAAGTTTGTGGGAGTACCAGTTGCCAAATATTGAATTGTAGTTTGATACATAGGATGCTTTTACTGGGTTTGCATTATGAAATATCTCTTTGCAGCTAGATATATTAGGGAAAAATAATTTAGATATATGAAAAGCTTTGATATAGAGTGGCTACCACCACTCCACAGTTAAATTAGTTTTCATTATAAATCTACCTTTCAGCCCCTTCGGTTCCTAAAAGAAACTGATCTTCCAGCATACTATATTCTACATATGACTATGCCTTAAGGTGGAAGAGTTCATTTGTTTCTATTTTGCATTTTGCTCTGCAGGTTTCCCTCGCCAACTGCTGGGGTTAGGTTCCTGAAAATTCCCATGGTTAGCAAGACAAAAGACTTATGGGAAAAATGACAGAGCGGGCTGATGCGCGGCCACGGAAAACTGTGGTTACTTGAAACTCTATACCGTGGTAGCCAAAATAGTATATAGAATATTAAGCCTGGATACTCAAAACCGTGGTTAGCGAGGGAAACCTGTACTTCCTATTACTATGGCTGCAGTCTAAGAGCATGGGGGTCATGTCTGTACAATGTACAGTAAAAGCTCTATTAACCAGCATCCATGGGGAATGAGGGGTGCTGATTAATCAAATATGCTGGTTATCTGAGAATTTTTTTCAAGAAAGAAACTAAGCCTTCATTTTAACTGTGATATAATAACTTTTAATATAACATTATTATAACTTTTAAACTGATATAACAACTTTTAAATATTTTAACTATGATATAAGGAATAATAAAGTAAATAGTATACTGTACTATTACTGCCCCTCAGCTGCTTCTGAAGGCACCTTGAGATCAGAGGTTGCCTCAGAACGTGGCTCTGCTTTGGAGTGTGCCTCTCCTTGAGGATCATCAACGTCAATATCTGATTCTTGACACAAGCTGCTTGAATCCTTGACACAAGCTGCAGAAGCTCTTTGAAGCAACCTGTGGATGTCTGTCTGCCTGTAAGTCAGTTGCCTTTTTTTCAGGAAATTGTTGTGAACAACATGAAGTTGCATCACTTCCTGAGCAGAATAAGAAGACTGCTGCTCAGCAAATTTCAAGAATGTTTTCAGAAATTGTGCAGCAGTAGCCCAAGCCACTTTAGTTTCTTCACTGTGGTCGTCGTCTTTTGAGTCTTATTTGGGTGTAGAAGATCTGTCAGGATGCACAACCTCTTCTGTAATTTCAGCATCAGTAAGGGTTTGTGCAACATCAAGGTCTTGATCAATTGTTCACCCACTCTTCAAGCTCAGTATCTTTGAGTTTAGTGAGGTCAGCATTTTGAAGGACATCAAGAATCTCTTTTAACGATTCTTTTTTATGTCTCTCATTGAAACCTGCAAACTCTTCTTCGTCAGAAGATCGCTCTGCAAACATCACTGCTGCCCGCAATTTTCTCCAAGCCTTCCTTAAAGCTGTACTCTTCACAGCACACCAGGCGCATGCCACATTGAAAATTGCATCCTTAATGGTATACTGCGGCTGAAATTCTTGGAGACTGCCTTCATAGTCGAGTAGCTTCCTCATAAAATCCCTTCTGTAGATGGATTTCAGGTTTTTGATAATTCCCTGATCCATAAGCTGTATGAGTGAGGTGACACTTGCAGGCAGGAAGATGGTAAAAATATTTCCAGACACTAACTCTGCTTCAGGAGGGTGAGCCCAACAGTTATCAAAAATCAGAATAACTTTTGTGTCTTCTGGCTTTTCTTCATTTTCTTCAGATGCTCTTTCACTGCTGGTACAAAGACATAGTAAAACCAGTGCAAAAATATTTCCTCATCCATCCATGCATTAGGTTGTGCCTTGTACTCAACAGGTAGATGAATGACACCCTTGAATGCTCTTGGTCGCCTGAATTTTCAAACCACTAGTAACTTGATTCTGTGTGTGCCTGCTGCATTTGCACACGTCAGTAGTCAGGCAGTTCTTGCTTTGCTTAAAACCAGCTGCACCAGCTTCACCTGCACCAGCCAGGGTAGAAGTTGTCAAACAACACCAAAAAAGGCCAGTTTCATCAGTGTTGTAGATCTGCTGTGGAGATACGCCATGCCCCACAACCAATTTCTGGAAAAATCCACAATATTTTTCAGCAGCCTCGTGATCAGATTTTTTTTCTCCATACACATCAAACCTTCTGATACCATGGCGAAGTTTGAAGCAAGACAACATCCATCTGAAAAAACACAGGCCTCGGTCATTCCCATTTATTGAAAGAAGTCTTTTGCTTTTTTGATCAGCATTGGGCCAGAAATTGGAGCTCCCTCCGAATGTTTTAAGACAAACCATTCATACGATATCTCATCTAATTGTTTCAGTTTTGGTTGTACAGCGTACAGCGTTGCTCAATTGCTTTACTTGTCTCAGAATTCGTCACAAACTGTAGTAACTCTGCTCTCTGTGCCTTGATGTCATAGAGCGTAGACAAGCTGACATTGAATTCCTGCATCAACTTGTTCCTGTTTTCTCCTTTTTCCAGCTGCTTAACTATGTCCAATTTCTGTGTAATTGTCAAAACAACATGCTTTTGCTTCTGTCCTCTGCTTGTTGATGGAGTATTGGTAGCCATAGTTGCAGGATGGGTGAGATACTCAGCAATAAAGTTACAGGCACAAGCTCAACGCGATCACAGTGTGATCACAATGGCGGATGAGACTGCCGCTAGCGACACTACTCGGCTGCGTCCCGAACAACAAGATGGTGTCAGTGACAGATGCTGGTTAATAGAGAATTCTGGATGGTAAAGTGCCGGGTAACGCAGCTTTTACTGTACCTTTACCTGCATATGAAGCAGGGTCAAACATTTTAAGAGTATTATGTAAATATAAATGGACATGCTACTGACTCCTTGAATAATTTGGAGAGCGGGTATGTAAATGTGGGGGGAAATATAAGAACAGGAATTCAAGGGGTACATACTGAAGGAGCAGATGACTGGAGGATGTGGATTTGGGGATAGGAGACTGTCTACCTCATCTCAGAATGAGGGACCCTGAGGAGGACAAAGTATAGTTAAGAGATTTTTCAAGACAGTAAAAGGGCAAGGAAGCAGAAGAATGGAAAGGCCAATTCTCATTCATTAACTCCTTAAAATATTTTTCTGTGCATATTATGTTAGTGTTAGAGTGATGTTATAGCTGTGATGATCCAGAAATTATGCTAGAGGCAAGGATTTCTTAGGGCGATATCTTTTATTGGACTAAGTAGTTGGGGTGAAACTAGACCAGCTTTTGAATGCAAAATATGCATCTATTGTATGTGATTATTAACATTTTTATCTAAAAAATATAATTATTTAAGTGCTTCAGAGTTTGAGCAGGTAGGTAAAAGCCTGCCATTCAGATTTTGTTCCATTCCTCTGTTTCCTGCGGAGTAACAAAACTCTGCAGAAGGGAAACCCTATTTTGGTGGACCAGAAAGTATTTTTCGGGACAGACTTGAAAATTTGTAAGTAAAATATCTGTATAGAGAATTAAGTTTGTGTGTCTTGTAAGGCAGTTGGAATTCTTCCGCTGACTTGGAGATGGGCATTAAGTACATTGCTGTTAGCTCTTATATTAGCATTTGATAGCTCCTGTCTTCCATTCTTGTTAGTAGACAATACTTCAGTCTTATTTAGTAAATAGGATAATTTGGCAATTGAATGGTATAATAAATGGACAATTATGAATCATTTCAAACTGTATCATATCAATTGCATTTTTGGCTGTCTTGTTATAATCAACAACTTTTACAGGTAGTTGATATTTTTTATTTTCCCAGCAGAAAATCCGCCCGGACTGTTTTCACCCTATTTATTAGAGACTTGAATGTTCCATTCACTACCTCTGGCTTGTGGGAATGGAAAATAACAGAGAAGAGAAAAATGTGACTCATGTAATTTTAGGTTCTTTTATGCAGTGTTGTTCTATGTTGACTCTTAGTTTTGATTAGAAAAATAGAATTTGTTAACTGTTTAAATGGAATCGTTTGCAGGGATATGAGGAAGGATAAAAGCTTGATAAAGGGACTAAGGGTTTCTTACAAAGCTGACACTTTGATAGCAACATCTGCTCTACAGTGGGAAAAAAATACTGCTCTTTCAGGAGCATCTGCATGAGTTGTGGTAAATGTAACATTTGTAGCTGCTTTTCAATTGAATTCAGTTTCCACAAAAGTGGTTTAACAGAGGTATTTGAATTCTAGGAAATAAAGATTTCATTGTGAGTGGAATTAATTTACTTTTTTGTTAAATTGTTCTGAGTGAAGAGAGCCTTAGGAGTTTATTACTTGGGAAATTACTTGGGAAATGATAAATGTAGTAAGATTGGGTTGGGGGAGTATGTGGGTGTAAACCCCTGGAAAAAACTTTAGTACTGGAAGAGCAGTTTGGCAAGTTCATTAGCTTGGGTATTAGGAGGGCCCTATCACTAGTACTGCACTTGTGCCCTAAATTATTTGATGTTTCTTTGTGTTCAGTTTGATTTGTATTGCAAATCTGATTTTATTCTACTTTTCAAATTTGTTTAGTATAATTTTGAAAATGCAACTCAGACATTTGATGATCTGCCAGCCAGGTTTGGCTATCGATTACCGGCTGAAGGCTTGAAGGTAAGAACTCTCTGAATACACAGAAAAAAGTAATAATCTAAAAAAACCTACTGAATGGGATGATTTTGTTGGAATTTGTTTTGAGTACTAGGTAAATGATGAGCACATTACTTGTAGACACAGACATTTGAATAATCAACTAAGAGCAGGTGCATCTTAAGTTTGTTCATGTAACCAACCATCTCTTTTTGCTACATAATGAGTCTTTAAAATCCAGTATTTTTTCAGTTGGTATAGTCTTTCCTGGGAGCTCAAAGCCACACAAGAACTATTCTTGCCTGTAGAAAATAAGGTTTTCAGAAAAATGGCTTGAATTATTACATTTTATTTTTATTGACTTGCTGTTTCTTTTTGTAATAAACATTTATTTTAGTGGTGAGCTTCACATACTCGAGCATTTGTTGCACTGGTCCCCAACTGAGGTATGTATTAACAGACATGTACTGATCAAAAACTCCGTGCTTTAAGTAAGTCTTGGAGATGGAGAGAAGCAAAGCAGTCTCAAAAGAGCTGTTTCCAGATGTGGATTCTAGTAAAGCTGTCAGTGTTGTGTATTGCAGGGCAGAATGTATTTTTGTTTTACCGTGGCACAAATGTGTAACAAGAAGCCAAAATGGGGGGAAAAACTAAACGGAACAGAGCGCAAGAGGAACCTGTTCTCTTCCTTATGCCTTGGGAGAACAGCTCATTATGCACTGTACTGCTTGAGTTAGAATGAACAGCAGTGTCAGACCAGCCCCTTCTGAGGGAGTATTGACATGCGCACCTCCATTCCACTTCAATTAGTGGGAGTACGCACTCCACCCTGTAACTGAGTGGCTCTTTGCTTGCATTCTCTGTATCATCTTGGTGGATGCTAGGAACTGAGGTTAGTGGGGACCTTTAGAACCAAATCATTTGAATTAATCAGCTAGGTTTTCATGTTGAGAGCTGTAAGCAACTTGTATTTTCTATGAATTTTGCACAGGGAGGAATGTCATGTCACTTTTTTTACACTGACCCTAACACAGGGAAGTACCTTGAAGACATAATCAGTCCCTGAGCTTGTGATAAAAATGCAGATCGAGTATTGGATCTTTCATCTGGTGCCCAAATAACATGTGTTACCATATCACCTGGCGTAGCTTCCTAACTATACCTGTATACTCTGGCATCTGCAATTTGAAGATTCACCCCAAATGATGGATCACACCAGTATGAATTCTAGACTATGTAAATGCAGACCTTTTCACTTTTTGCCTCTAACTTGGTACAATACCTTGACCTAGTCTGATGGAACTGTGGGTTAACAGTCAGAATCCCAGCCTGAAAGCCCCATATGGAATGGAGAAATCCATACAACTAGTGACATAAGAAAACTTCCTTTTTATAAGTCCCTGCCTTAGCAAGGGCTTGATTCAAAGTTCTTTTAAATCAGTGGGAATCGTTCCACTAATTTAAATGGCTTTGCCTTATTTCCTAATTGAGCAGAAGTATTCTGTTTAGTTTGTCTGCCCAAAAGACATTCACAAGGCACACGTGCGACCATACTAAACTGTTTTTTGCATTTTTTTTCTACAACTGAAGCTGAATTGAGCTTAAAACAGCTGCATAGAACAGGAGAGAGGTTTAGTATGCATTGTTGCATTCACTAAAAACAGCACATTTTGATGGGTTTTGGAAGATTTTTTATTTTTTAAATGCATGTCCTATCATGAAATTCGATATTTGTTTAATTGCATGAGGTTCCTGCTCCATCTCTCTGTATACTGATATTAGGTTAAACATCTTCACATTACATTTTTCCTGTATGTAATTTCAAGAAAAATGAAAAGAACCTTAATATAATATCATAGCTGTAACTTGTTCAGCAGAGTTATTTTTATGACCCTAAGGCCCCCTCTGCACGTTCAGGTAAAGGCACAATAGGAGCTAATGTGTGCATGGCAGGAGGCATGATTGTGGGATTGCACTTTAGATCCTGTTGCACCTCATTGCTGGTGCAGGGGAAGTGCAGGATTAACTATCCTGGGCTCCGTCTGCCCTGGCAAGAAGCAAGCTCCTGTGGCTGGGAGCCCCCACAGTTCAGGGGCTCCCAACTGCAGGGGTGCAGTGCTAGTGTGCTGGTGTATTAGTACAACACTAGTATTAAATGTATGATTCTTCTCAGGTCATACTGTGAAATAACTTCTAGGAGCAAGCATAAGGAGAAGATCATTGGATTTCTTAATTGTAACTTAAATTCCAAGACAGACTCAGTTGTCTGAATTAGACCACCTCAAAACATAATTGCAGAAAGCTATAGCTTCCATTGTATCAAAAATAGTCTTAAAAGCACCTGCCTATTTAAACCATAATGTGATGCTAGGAGCAGTTGAGCTTGTATGACAAAAGATCCATTGAGGTAAAGCTTGGTAAAATATACCAGACTACAACTACTGAGAATCTCATACACAGGTTTGGAAATTGTATGCTATGACTTGTATAAGGAAGTGTGAAAAAGCAGAGAGGACTGAGAGAGTCTGCTGCATGTGAGCTTCAGCAGTTGATACAAGCTACATCCTGTGAATAACAGACAGGAAGCTCTACAGTTAGAGAAATTCAGTAATCTGATCTTGGTGGGAGAGAGGGGACTTGCTAAGCAACTAAAGAATGGCTGAGCACCAGGAAGTCTTTGGCAAAACTTGCATTGGTTTCAGTGGACTCAGGATTGACCCTGTATTAGACTAATTTGATTAATAATGGCTCCTTAGATCCAGGTTAAAGCCAGTGCTTATAGAGCTACAAAAAGTAGGGAGGCAGTGGGGAGCTAACTGTATAGTTACTGTGTGGTTACATCTGGATTGCAGCAAAACGTAAACTGGAGGCAGTTCATAGAAAAGCAGTTTCAAGAGCAGATATGGAAGGATGATGGAGGTAGAGTTGTCTTATGCAGAAGAATAAATAAAAAGGTAAATAAGCCTTTACCTGTCTAAACCAGTGGTGGCCAACCTTTTTTTTCATCTCATGGGCTAGACAGCCAGTGTCAAGTCTGTCCCTGGGCCAGATTTGGCCTAGGACCTGATCTAGGCTCACAGGCTCAGTCTCTGCCTGTGGGGATTTGGCCTGGGGTTAAGAAATTTGGTGGTAGGAGAACAGTTAATTGCCACCATTCCCCTGCTCCCAAATTTCTGGATTCATGGGGATCCCTGTGGGCATGATATGACTTCATGTGCTAGGTTTGGCCCACTGGCTCGGGGTTGAGCACTCATGGTCTAAACAACCACCAATGAGGAAGTATAAGAGAGAAGATTAAAAAATATTTTTAAAGTATGTCCTACCTAACAGTAAAATCCTGCAGGCTGGTACTTTAAAATTGAGAAAAGTAAATGGAAGATTAACTGCTTCATTAGTTCAGGTTTCCCTTGATTTATGCGGGTTCCATATATGTGAATTCGCTCTTATGCGATCACCCTTTTCCTACCCAAAATTCCTTTATATGTGAGGTAAATTCACTCTTATGAAATTGGGGCTCTTCTTCTCCCCACTCATCCCAGCCCCTGGGTTGTGCCATACCACAGTGCAGGCAGGTGGTGTTGGCTGCTCCTGGGTTTGCTGCAGCAGCTAGGGTGAGTGGGAAGAAGTGGAGCCCTGGGAGTTTTTTGGGGCACAGTGCAGCCCAGCGGCTACAGGCAGCTGCATTGGCTGCTCTTTGGCTGCTGCAGCAGGGACTGGGGTGAGCAGGGAGAAGTGGAGGCCTCAGGCTGCAGCAGGCAGCAAGGGGGCAGGAACTGTGAGTGGGTGTGGGAGAGGGAGGGGTGGGGCACAGCTCTTGCTGCTATGCACCCCACCCCCTGGCAGGGCTGCAGACTGGGGGGCTGTGCCAGGCTCTTCTCAGGGGGACGCAGGCACCCAGATCTGCATGCAGGACAACAACAGGCTGCCACTGCAGACTGAGGCCAGTGGCACCACCAGGCTCTCAGTGGGCAGGTTGGGGGGGCTACGGTGAATTTTGGGGTGGCAGCAGCCCCCCTCTCAGCACCACCACCTCATTCCTGCAAGCAAGGCTGGGGCTGGAGGTGGCACCGGGTTCTTCCCTGCACTCCAAGCAGGCAGCAGCGATGCTGGGAGGATGGTGCTAAGCCCTATATAGTTGTGTGAACCAAGTTGCTGTAGCACGAATGCCTGTTGAATGAATGATAGCAATAGATAGTGAAAAGGCATCAGAAGGAATGGGTAGAAAGAGAAATTTTTTCCTCCTGGCTATGTAGCTTCATTGGAGCCATAACAGCTGGAAGCAGAAGTGTGTATGACTGAAAGCTGGGCATGGTATTGGCCCAAATTCTAGAGGATCTTTGTAGTTTGAGTGGAACAGTTTGAGTTTGCCAGGGAATTGGCTGAGGCCATGCGCTCTTGGTGTATGGTTCTCATGGGAGACTTTTACTACCCAGACATCTCGGGGGAGGAGCGCTCAGCCAAATCTGAGCGGTCACAAAGCTTTCTCTTGTGCGTGGATGACCTCTATCTGATGCAGGAAATCTACGGGCCAACGAGAGGTAAAGTGCTGCTCAACCTGGTACTGGCAACTGGGGATGACCTAATCAGTGACCTGTCGATCGAAGGGAAGCTGGGTGACAGTGACCACGAGCTGATCACCTTCACCATCTGCCGTAAAGCTGGCAAGTCAGTCAGTAATACAGAAGTCCTCGACTTCAGGAAAGCTGACTTTGGTAAGCTAAGCAGGCTTGTCACTGAGGGCTGCAACCCAAAGGGGAGGGGAGTTCAAGACAAGTGGTTGCTCCTCAAGGGAGCAATCCTGGATGCACAAGCAAAATGTATCCCGTCTTGAAGAAAAGGCAGCAAAAGGGCACAACAGCCCCCTTGGCTTTCCAGGGAACTAGCAGACCTCCTGCGTCTTAAAAGGAAGACCTACAAAGGATGGAGGACTGGAACCGCCACCAAGGAGGAATACTCTGATCTGGTCCAGACCTGCAGAGAGCAACCCAGGAAAGCCAAGGCTGTGACTGAACTCCAGCTAGCTA